ACACGACGCTCTTCCGATCTCCCCAAAACCCCAAAACCCCATCATTCAAATTTCCAGTGAAAGGAGTTTAAATAAAATTTCTCATAAAATATAAATGAATGCAATTAAAATTAAATACACTAATATTGGTTGTATATCTGAATATTTTTAGTACTCACTGTTCGATGTTTATTTGTTAAGGTTTAAGAGCAGTATTAACTCCTGGTTTATATCTGCTTCTCTTCATCATTTATAGACTTGATATCTTTCTACCTTATTAAGAGAGATTATTTTCTTGGTTCAGCAGTTGCTAACGAACTTTTGATTAGAATTACTTTTACTCTTGACTTGGTTTTTATTAAATTTCTAATTCATCATCCAGATTCGATGATTTTTATTCCTCGAAATCTGGTGCATTTATAGGAATAGGCACTCTTACTTAGAAAAATTTGAACTACAAGCATTCGGCTGCAGTTGGTCTTTTGCTAGGATCATAATTTAGCATAGCTTGAATCAGTTCTATAGCATCTTCACTTGCATTTTGGATAATGCTTGAAAGATTTTGAGGCATAAATGAGGGGAATTTAAAACCCAACTATTGAGCAAGTTTAAAACCATCTGGCCAATTTATACGAGTAGGTGTTCCTAATACTTTGCAAATCTAGGTCATTTGATCAGCTTCAGATTAGCCAGGGAATAATGGTCTCATTGTAAATAACTCTGCCATTATGGCTCCCATTGCAAATATATCTATTGGAGCGTTGTAATTTGGAGCTCTTAATAGAATTTCGGGTGCTCTATACCAACGAGTAGAGACATAATCAGTAAAAGGAGGCCTGGCATCTATTTCCTTAGCTAGACTAAACTTATTTAAAATATCATGTATATTCTTACCCAAAGTCTGCAATCTTGATAGTTTGATAATAACATAGCAGATTTTCTGGTTTTAAGTCTCTATGAAAATAGTTATATTTGTGCATATATGCTAATCCTTGTAAAGTTTAGAACATAATGTTTCTAATTAAATGCTCAGGAAATAGTTTTTTTCTTTCCTTCATTAGTTAATAGACATTCATATCAAGATATTCAAAGACAAAATGTAGTACACTTTTATCCAAAATAACCTCATATAGCTGGACAATATTAGGATGTGATAATTTCATCAGGGAATGTATTTCCCTTAAGCTCACACATGCATCCCATTTGTAGTATTTTTTCTTCATTTTCTTAATCGCTACAATCTCACCTATTAAAGATCTATAAAATTTCAAAAATATATCCAACCAGTCTTCATGTTCATAGCTTTTACAACAGATCCATAAGTGCCATCTCCAATTGTTTTTAGTCCACTATACTTTTCCATTTTTATTATTTAAATTCGAAAAAGCAATATTAAAACTTAATGTTAATGAGGGGTTTTGGGGTTTTGGGGTTTTGGGG